TTCCTCCTTGACAAACTCTTGCTATTCCTTTAAGACTTAGTTTAGTTCCTTACTTCTCATTTCCCAGATGATTGTTCCCATTGCATTGTGTCCCTACCCCTAGTTTAGCCCAATCTTTGGGTGCTTGAGATAGTATCATCTAAATGTTTTATTATGTCTCTGATTCAACTAAGTTAAATCTCTTGAAGACAGCAACTAAGTCTTATTCCTGGATTTGCAGTATCTAGCACAGTGATTGTGGAAAAACTACTTGACCATCATTAGTTGAATAAATATATAAACAGCTTCCTCGTTGAACTCTGGAATCTAATTTCAAACTATTTAATTTCAAATAGACAACTTGACCTAGAAACCAAATGTTGAGTTTCACCTATATCTCAAATTCTATATATCTTAAATAGAAGTCCTTCACTTTTCTTACTATCACTTTTTTCTACTTTTATGTATGGTGCCAATATTCTCAGGGAAGCATGTGTCAAAACAAGAAATAGCACTTGACTCTTCTCTCAATATAGCCAAACAGCCTCTATTCCTCTCCATTTTCTTTCTATATCTCTTGAAGTTGTATTCTGTTTCTTCTCCCTAGTTAGCAACTTTCCCAAAGTCTTGAGCTATTCAGATACAGAGCCAGGATTGGAATCCATTCTGTCTGACTCACTAAGTCATATTACCTTTCTGGCTTGTGCTTGGGAAACTGGGATCCTTTGATAATGTGGGAAGCAATTCCAAAGAATATAACTTGTAATTTTCTGGAACACTTTGGAAGGGAAAATACTCCATGGACTTTTGTTTTGTCTTATGTTTGAGACATAAACTAGCTATTTTATGAGGCATTGACAGAGAAATAGATGGATGGATTGGTTTATTTCCCTCAATAGAATGTACTCTCACAAGTGTCTAAGGATATAAAAGTTTATAAATACAATAAAGTGTTTTTATCTGAAATATTTCTATTAGACATCATAAACTACACTAAGTAGAAAAGCTTCTAATTTCTAGTCCCAAATTTTTATTGTGCGTTTTAATGTCTTCTAAGATTAATTTGCTTTTTAAGATCTTATCCTAGCCACAGGTAAAGTTTGAAATTCTGAATTTTTATACATTTTTGTCTTAACTCTAGGTTATATACATTAACTGTTTAGTGACAGAATGTATGTTATTAAATGTACAGTTAGCTTAGTAAGTACATATGCAAATATATATGCACAGTAGTATCAATGAACAGATCTTGTAAAGATAGAGAAGTTATCACACTGTGACACTGAATCACCATTAATGGCCACTCCATATGCAAAGCTATGAATTTGTACATCCTTCCTTCTGATTTCCATTCTACCCAAATTCTTCTCGTAACTTTTCCTCAAAATCACTGGTTCTACCAGTTTACTTGCTCCCCTACTTTCAAAAATCTGTAGTTCAGGCTTCCAAATACAGTTTGAACCACTTACTACTGAGTATATATTCCTGCAATAAATACAATAAAAACTGCAGGAACCAGCAGTTAGCGTAATGGCTATGTCGCTGGACTCCCACGTAGTCCACCGCGGTTTGCATCCCAGACCCGGTGGCTTAAAACTCACTCTGGGCACGTGTGCGTGGGTGCCCAAGATCCCGAGAGGAGAATGGAGGAGAAGGGATTGCAACATGGCCATCCCCCCTAGGGGGTGATTTCTTGCTTTCTGTCTCTAATGTCTCTCTCTGTCTGTCTGGCGAGTGCATGTGCCCTATAGCGAAAATCTCTCCAAAAATAAAAAAAAAAACAATAAAAACTGAACAAAAATATATAAAATGTTGACTATGAAAATGTACAACAGAAAGTACAGTCCTATGATTCATGAGAGAACGTGGTGTGTGTGGGGGGAATTAGATGGTACCTATGATTATCTCAGTTTTATTCCAGGAGGAAATTTCTGAAACATGGTATGAGAAGGGGAAACCCATACAGAGAATCGTAGTCCCATTGAAATGAAGTAAAGAATAAAAAGCTTATAAAAACTGAGGCAATTGGCATTTGTGTGACAGAAGACCAGATGTGAGAAAGTTAAACAGACAAGCGAAAAATTGTGGTTTGAGTTGTGTGCCCTAAGTCCTATGTTGACACTAACTGCCAATATAATGATATGTGGAGGTGGGGCCTGTGGAAAATAACTAGGTGTAAATAAATTCATAAGGAAGGGATTCTAGTGATGGAATTAGTGCCCTTGTTTGCAGAGCACTGTTGGCTTTCTCTCTTCATGCATTCAGAAAAAAGAGGTAATGTAAGTAAAAAATAATAAGGCCATTTACAAGTCAAGGAGAGAACCCTCATCAGAACTTGACCATCCTGGCATCCTGGCTGTGGACTTCTAGTCTCCAGAATTGTGAGGAAATGAATCTGTTGATTAACTTGTCCATTTTATGGTATGCCATTATAGCAGCCTGAGTTGACTGATACACAGATGAAGAGTGATGCTCTCACATCGACTATTAACTATCTCCAGATCATCTTTTTTTTTAAAGAGGTTTTTGCTATAGAGTGTGTGTGCTCATCAGAAAGACAGAGAGAGACAGAGAGATAGAAAGCAAGAAATCATCCTCCAGAGGGGATGGCCATGCCTCAATCCCTTCTCCTCCATTCTCCTCTCGGTATCTTGAGCGCACACGCACATTCACCTAGTGTGAATTTAAGCCACCAGGTCCTAGACTCGAATTGTGGTCGACTACATGGGAGTTCAATGACATAGCCATTATGCTAACTGCTGGTCCCCCTCCAGATCATGTTTTTGAAATGCAATTTTTTTTTTAATGTTAAATCTCGCTTAAAGTACTTCAGTGTCTTTTCATTGGGTTTAAGAAAAAGATGGATCCTCATGTGACTCTCAGGACTTGGCATTTGTCTCCTTTGCACTACGCTGTTCCTTGCTCACTCAAGGGCATGTTCATTTGTGCAAAGGAACAAAAGAAGTGTTTTTATACTTGTCTGTTAAAAGAGCAAAGGCATTACATGTCCTACCATTACTGTAAACAAAGATTAACAAATTATTTATAATACATCTCATCAATAAACTGAGCAAAGGAGAGTTCTGACAGAAAGATTTTAAAAAATACTCTTCGAGAAGGACACAATTCAGCAATCTTGAACTACCACTATGTTCTAGTCTGGATGAGTATAACAATACTCATGCTGAATACCAGAAGTTAAATTATACACAAATAAACATATCTTGATATAAAAGCATTTCTGCTTTGAAAGTGACCATACACCCAAATATTCTCATGTATTTCCAATAGGCTGTTTTTAAATTCCTTAGCCACCAGTATTGGAGAACTGAGGGCATGGAATTCTTGTTAACAATATGCATTGCTCAAACAGTTATAAGACTAAAGAAGGTAGTAGTCTTTGGGCCCATGTGAAGGCATTTGAATGTGGTTAATTCTATTAGTGATTTTATATTCATGAAGGAGTTTTTAGTAGTTTATAGAGGCCCATGGGTTCAGCTGGTCTCTCTCTACTACATTTCTGCCCCATTTCTCTAAGTCATTTCTGTTGATCAATGTCCTTTAGAAAAGCTGAGCATGTCTTAAACTTGGAAGCAAGCTCTTCTGTAGCATCATGTAACTTTTGCTTGAAAACTGGAAAGATGGTTTTCTACAGCTTCCTACAGTGGTATTTGCCTTTCTTGTGAAAATACTTAATCTCATGGAAACATTTTCTAAAATATTTAAATCTGTTAAATGTGATTTTATGCCCCTTCCATCCCCAGATCCCCAACAAATCTTAGTAGTCTACTCCTTTCCCTAATGTTTGTCTGAGTTACTTTTCTTGTATCTGAGTTTTATTTTTTTTTCTGATTAATCTCCTTAGTTCTTTCAATTATGTTCCATGTGCAATTTTTAATGAGCATATATTAATTATACATGTTTATGGGGTATATTACATTAATATAATGTGTAATGATCAATTCAAGGTGATTAGCATATCTATCATTTCAAATAGTTATCATTATTTTGTAATGGGAGTATTCAAAATCCTCTCTTTTGGCTATTTTGAAATATACTTTGAATGATCATTATCTGTAGTTACCCTACTGTTATATGGAACACTATAACTTACTCCTTTTATGTTTCTTTAACCTCTCGAAAAATGCCCTTCTAAAAGCATAGTCCTCCAAGTGGTTAGTGTTGATCCAGGTGGACACTATTCACGTGTTTTTGAACATTGAAGGTGTTCTTAAGGAAGTGGCATTTAAACAAAAGCCAATAGTGGGGGAGAGGTACACAGGTAGAGAGAGAGAGAGAGTTGGTGGAATAGTGCAGAACCTTAGAGGTTTATGCATCACGAGTGTCAATAGGTCAGCAAATGGAATATGTCATACTAAGGAGTCTGACTTTCCTTCAGATTGTCCAGAGCTTTCAAAGATTTCCATACAGAGCCATCACATGGTAACATTCATGCTTTAGAAAACCTCCTTTGCAGAGGGTTTGCAAGTAATAACATTAGTGGAGAAAAAGCAGTTAGAAAATTTGTCCAGGAGAAAGGGATAGAAACAGAGATCGATCCTAGAAATATTAGGCTGTTTATAAAAGATAGGCCTTTAAGAACATGTTTAAGTTTAGATATCTACTGATTCTACAGGAAATGCAGCCATTTTTTTTCCCAGACTGGGTCATACTCAGATTCGCTCCACAATATTAGGCCATCTTCAGTCAAAGTTGTACATTAGACTGAATTTATCTTGAGCTGCTTCTGATCTGAATCTCTTTAACATGTTCTCACCATGGTTCTCTCTGCCCTTTTGCTGTAGGCCAAAGGTTCCCATCTTTCCAGTATCTTGCCTCATGGGTAAAAGGGGGACAGCATGGTTTGTAGGAAGAAAAGCCACTGTACAGGTAGATAATCCTGGACTTGCACCTAGCTCTGCCACAAACTTGTTGTGTAACCCTAGGCAAGTTCAGCTTTCTGACATTCAAGTTTTTCATCTGTAAAAATACTAGACCCTTTTGGGTGATGTATACAAAACACAAACAATGCCTGGCACTGTCAGTAAATAAACATAGTTATACCAAGGCATAGATTTAGAATTTGTAAATCAATTTAAATATTTTAATGAAAGGGCTGATGTCTGTATGCATGTGAGGGAGAGAAAGCTTTGGAGAGACTGTGTTTAATCACATATTTGAAATAAATTCCTGCAGTGTCTTTACTAGATTTGTAATCTTCCCTGGGTGACAATGTCAGCAGTAGCTGCTCCAGTGGTGAACATCTTATGAGTTGGAGAAGAAACCCCACTAAAATTGTGAACCTGTCCTATGCAAGAAGAGTAGAGTAGGAGGCATCTTACTCCCTGACCCCAAAATATATTACAAGGCTGTGATCATAAAAACAGCATGGTATTGGCACAAAATCAGACAGACCAATGGAACAGAATAGAGACCTCAGAAATAAATCACTAAACATACAACCAACTGATTTTTGACAAAGGGGACCAGTCGATCTGGTTGGAAAAGGAAACCCTCTGTAGCAAATTGTGCTGAAAAAAAACGGGGTATTCACCTGCAGAAAGATAAATGTGGACCCCTATCTCTCCTCATTGACAAAAATCAACTCTAAGTGGATGAAGTTCTAAACCAAAGACCTCAAACTATAAAGCTACTTCTGAAAAATACTGGGAAAACTCAGGGAAACATTGGGGTAGGAAAAGATTTATTAAATAAGACCTTCAAAACACAGGCAATAATTCTAAAAATAAACAAGTGGGATTACATCAGATTAAGGAGTTTCTGCACAGTAATTAGTGTGAATTGACAACCCTCAGAATGGGAGAATATTTTCGAAAACCATGTCTCAGTTAAGGGACTGATTACCATAATATACAAGGAACTCAAGTGGCTCACCTGAAAAAAAAAATGACTAATCCAATTAAAAGAAGGGAAAATGAGCTGAACAAAGAACTTTCTAAGGAAGACATACAAACAACCAAAAAGCATATGAAAAAATGTTCAACATCCTTCATCAGATGAGAGTTTCAGATCAAAACCACAATGAGATACCACCTAACCCCAGTCAGACTGGCGAAGATAAAAACAATAAAAAAAGATAAGCGTTGGTGGGGCTGTTGTGAAAGGGGAACTCCCCTACCCTGTTGGTGGGAATGTATATTAGTCCAGTCACTGTGGAGGTTTCTCAGAGATCTACAAATAGAACTACCATATGATCCAGCAATTGCACTCCTGGGTATCTACTCAAAGGACAGGAGAATACAGAAAATTGCTTGACCATCTATGTTTATTGTGGAATTATTCACAATTGCTAAGACATAGAACCAAGTCAGATGTCCATGAACAGATGAATGGATTGAAAAAAAATATGGTATGTATACTCTATGGAATATTACTCAGCCATAAAAAAACAAGATGTTGACTTTTGATAGAAACTAGATGAATATGTAAGATTTACTGCTGAGTGAAGCAAGCCAGGCTATGAAAGAGAGACATTGTATGTCTCCACTTAATATATACCAAATGTCCACACTTTGTGGTGAAAACTGAAATATTGGAGGATATAGAAGCATGGAAAATGATTACAGATACTGGATTCAGTGTGGGAGGAAAGTGGAATGGGGGAGAGTGTGAGGAAAGATATTAAGGAGAAAAACAGGCAATTCATTTATGGGACACAAATGGATTATTGTCTATTGATGATAATGTATAGTATCCTCAACTGGACTAGTGTGAAATGTATTCATGTTGGCAGAATTCACTTTATAAGCTAAGTGATGTATTGTGGTTGAATTTTTTTTTTTTTTAAATCTGATCCTGATGAGCCTGGAAGTGGCTAAGAGAAGTGGCACATGACATGAGTGCTGCAGTCCCACAGTCTTGGTCTTGTTCACAAAGAGTGTTTGCTGCAGTGATAAAGATAAGGATGACCCAGAGTATGTTATTCCAATGAAAGGCTAATTTTCTCCATGACCATGCCATAATCAAGTCAAGGAAATGGTGTGGACTTTGAATGAATTGTAGTTGATTTACTAACCAAATGTGTCCACTATACTCAGCTCTTCACAATTACATTTACTGACTCATGTAGCTAGTGAATGCTCTCTAAGGCACTATTAGCATTCAGGCTCATGTTGGATTCTGTGGAGGCTATCAAGGAAAAGATGATAATCTGTTCATCTACCTGTTTGATCTCCCTGAAATTAGGGTATTTTTCTTCTTTTTGGATCCCTAATTAATGCCTTTATATCTACCATGTATAGGTACTATAAGTATTATAGGTATTATAAGGTATGTGCACTGACCAGTAAATGATTGTAGAAGAGTGAGTGAATGAGTAAATAGAAAAATGATCCCACTCCATGAAAGAATAGAAAATGCATTTTCCTCTTTTCAGCAAACAATTATTCACTAGACCTTAAGGAATAGCATAAAAAATTTCTCAAGGTCAATGTATTCTAAAAGGCAAAAGGGTTGGCCAATCCAGAATCCAAGTCTCTTCTCTGCATAATTCATCAATGAAGAGGTTTCAGGGTATAAATAAAACACTAATTTTGTGTACCTGGAATTGGCTATATCATTTAGTAGTGTAACATTCACAAGGCCATTCAAATATTGAAAATCCTAAATTCTACAATATTACAGTAATAAATAAAGATCAAAAGTGTTCTTGTTCAACTGAACACCCAGAATTATTAAACCACATGTGATAGATAAATACAGATAAGTTTGGATTACTTGAGATTCTGTACCCAGAGAGCTTGGGACCTGTCAAGCCCTCACAATACCCCATCATGATTTATGAACATTTTAGAGAAATATACAAAATACATACTTAAAAAAAAAAGAACTTTGTTTCTAACATAATAAAATGTTTGATGATTTTGTCACTCCCAACTGAACAGAGTGCTTAATGGCTGCGGAATAAATGAAAGATTTATTGAACACCTACCATAGAACAGGCCTCTCTCTGTGATGATCCAGTAATCACCAAGATCCTGAAAGTGCTAATATTCCAGCTAATGAGAGAAGGAAGATCCAGGCAACTGTCAAGTTATTTGAAACTTGAAGACTTAAAAGGCAATAAATATCATGTTATTAATTGTAAAAAATTCCTTTTAAAATATGATAATAAAAACAAATGAACAATTTTGGGAGCAGGTTTGTACTATCATCAACCTTGTCTAACCTTGACCTTGTTTTTGGTTTTGTTTGTTTATTTATTATAAGGTATGTGCACTGACCAGAAAGAGAAAGAAAAGGAGAAAGGTACCCTACATGGGGAATGGTCACACTGCAATCCCTTCTTCTCCATCTCTCCCTCCTTTCAGAATTTTGGGTACGCATACACATGCCTGCTGTGTTTCTCAAGCTGCTGAATCAGGGACTCAAGCCGTGACTGCCCATGTGGGATCTGGCTGCCATAACTACCAGGTCACAGAGCCATTCTGACCTTGAATTTTAAAGCTGATCTTCCTGTGTCTCATGGGTCTACTTCTGTAAGACAGGATCTTGGCCCTTGGTCTTTCTAGTAATAGCTTTACATTCTGCTTTGTTCCTGTTTCTTCTTGTTCCTCTTTCTTCCCCCATGTCTCCTGCTCACTGACTCTGCTGTACTCCTTTAAACATATAATGAGCTCCAGGTACTTTGTTTTTACGCAGTTGGTATTCTTTGTCAGACATTTCTCCTCCACCTGAATCCAGACCCCAGTGCTCTAGTGTATGTAAGCCTCATAGCTAAGACACTATGTAGCTTCTTTCCAAGTCCTGCCTTTGGGATATATGCAGGGATGTTTAATTTTATGATGCTGAAAACCCCATCATAGTTTTACATGAATATCTTATTTCTACTATAATTTGAATTCGTATTTTTTTCTGACAGTCAAAGGACATGACTCTTAAGTGAGAGAACATGAAACTAGATTTCAGATTCAGAAGGAGTTTCATTTCTGCACTTACTTGAAACAACCAAATATTTCACTGGCATCTGGGAGAGAAGCCAACAAACACAAATGGTCAGTTTCTTTATGAGTAGGATGAGGGGATTTGGGTTAGACTATTTCTCAGGTTCTTTATAGTTTTAATTTCCAGAGACTCTTTAACTCTGATTCCTATGAAAGATGGAAGTATATTGATTTGAATTTCAAGGCAAACACATTATTTTCATCCATACAATTTTAGAACTAGAAGCTACTTATAAATTATCCATGCTTATCCTTTTATTTTATAGACCTGAAAAAGGAGGTCCAAAGGGCAATGACTTGCCCCCAATCAGACAGTATTTGAACGTAGAGCTGCTCTTGGGTTTGGCCTTCCTGACTTTATCCCACTGATCACTCATTGTCCCAGAGCAGGCAGCCTGGAGGAGTACTTCTGAAAACAAGTGCTTGTAATTTTTCATAAGAATCTGGCACACTCACACACACTAAATGTGGGGTTTTGATTTAAGTGCTAGACTGTTGTAGACGCCACTGAGATTGGCCAACCAGATCCCTTAGTTTATGGTGGCCTGTACCCACTAAACTACCCAGGATTAAACCTGAGCCTGAGATATTCATTTTTATTCTTGCATCTCAGTGACCACATAGCCTTCCCTTGAAAAATACTCTAAAACCACCATGAAGGTATAGTAACTTAACTTCTGAATGTGTTTTTTTCCATGTGTACCTTTTAACTGAAGCATCATATTCAAGATCTCAAATCTAGGAAACATTTTATTTCATATTTTATCATTAAAATTTTTAGAACTCAGGAATTACATCTAAAAGAATTTAAAGAAATCTTGGGGCCAGCTGGTGGATTGGTAGAACCTGATCCCATGTGGCTGACTGAGCAGTTTGAGTCCTACCCCCGTGGCTTGAAAAACACCCAGGGTACATGTGCATGTGTATCTAAAATCCCAAAAGGAAGGAGAAATGAAAGAGAAGGGATTGAGGGATGACCACATCGCAATTCTCCCTCTTTCTCTCTCTCTGCCTCTCTCTGGCCAGTGCATACATCCTCTGGCAAATAATAATAATAAAATCTTAGAAAAGGCCTAACATTCTCTATGGCATATTGATGGCTTTATTCAAAGAATGCTTCAAGTATGTTAAAGGGACTTCTTGAAATTTGCATTGCTAGTTTATTCTCAATTTTCAAGTGATCATAACTGGCTTCCATTTCTTTTGAGAATTCGAAGAGATAGCAAATTTCTTGATAAGATCAAGAAAAAAGAACCTTCAATGTTCAAGACATGTTCATTTCTATTTCAAATCATAAACTCTGCAGCCACAGCTATCTTTGCTGTCCCAATTTTTCTTAGCTACCATTTCTAGATTTAAAACCCTGGAAAAAAGAACGATTTCACCAGTCATCATGAATACCTAGTGTCAGCAGCTCATATAAAATCTAGGAAAATATAGTCAGGATTAAAGAAATCTGTAAAACTGTGAAGTAAGGCCATAGCATGTAAAAAGCAATTCCTTTTACAGAGTACATAATTTATTAGGAAAGCTCTTGATTTGTAGGAAATCTCCTTGACACCTTATCCTTGGCAACTGCTTACTTTTTTTTTTTTCTCTCTTTAGCAGAACAAAAGTGGATAAAGTATTTCCCAGTATGAGAATCCATTAATTTCTCAATAAATATCTTATTTTCTGTGATTCATACACATTCCCCTGTTCCCAGGCCCAATTTTCCTTTCCTGACTTTTTTCTAGGTCCTAAAATAAGTCATAATTTATTAGGAAAGCTCTTGATTTGTAGGAAATCTCCTTGACACCTTATCCTTGGCAACTGCTTACTTTTTTTTTTTTTCTCTCTTTAGCAGAACAAAAGTGGATAAAGTATTTCCCAGTATGAGAATCCATTAATTTCTCAATAAATATCTTATTTTCTGTGATTCATACACATTCCCCTGTTCCCAGGCCCAATTTTCCTTTCCTGACTTTTTTCTAGGTCCTAAAATAAGTCACTTTCCTACAGGTGATCTAAGGCCTAGAATAACAGGATTTCATCTTACTCCTACCCCCCCCACCCTGCCATCTCTCTCTTTCTCCCATGCACCACCATGCCCTCTATTACAATCACCACCCTTGTAGTGAATATTTGGGTTTTGAACTCCCATAGCTGTCTAGTTTCACTTTGATCTTAGGTTTGTGATCATTCCCAACTTTGTAGTAATTTTTATCTTTTTACATGTTTTTCCTTTTTGGAAAACATCAATTACCCATAATTTAGAATAGCTTTGCAAACAGAAGATTCCCTTCATTTTCAGACCCCTTTTCTCAAAATACAGTTAGTGTTTCAAGCACTTTCTCCTGGTCAGTGCCCTGCTCCCAGGCATACATTGTTCTTGCATTTTGGAGCTACCTAACATCTCTGGGTTATAGAATCTTCACAAATGCCTTTAGCTGAGTGCTGAGAGGGGACTTAACATTAGCCCTTGGGAGTGGAGGTCAGCTTTAGTCCTTAAAAGCTTACTTCCTTTGTCAGTTTTCAATGTTCCATTAATTTCAGAAAGAGAAGATCCAGATTCACCTTTTGAAAGTGAAGCTCTAAGATATATAATACTGTCATCTCTAGGGTTTCTTCTAGTTTGGGAAAAGGATAGGGAAGATTTATTTATTCATTTTGGGGACTCCTCAGGTGAGGGGCTGAGGGCAGGAGAGGGGATGAGAGCAGCACATGTCTCCACTGATCTATCAAGGGCAAGATGAGAAAAAATAGAGGGAAGTTCCTACCATGAGCCCTACATGTAGAAGTTCTAGGTGAGCTGGTACCATGATTTTTACCAGTTGCTTCCCTTGATTTTTCAAACACTATTCATACTCATAGTTCCCTTGGTATCCAAAGGGCTGGCATAAGCCAAGAATGCACTTACTCCATGGTGCTGAGAAGGGTTTGTGGGTAGAGGATGGGTGTTGGGGGATAGATGTTGAGTAACACAGTTCATGATCTCATACATGTTTTACTTAAAACTTTGCACCCAAAGCAATGTGCACCAAAGCAAAACCTAGGTTGTCTTTTTCTAATTTATTTGTAGAGACTTCATAATAAAGAAACAATTAATGCTCACATCTTAAAATATCTTGTTTTAAGATTTGTATCTTCATAAACTATCTCAAATAGTAATACTTCTGTAGAATCTAAAGAACCTATACATGGGATAGAACAAGAAGGAAAGGTATTCAGACTGTAAAGGAGTGAGTTAGAACCCTAGTAGTCTTCTTTGGTATGTCTTTACTTCTGAACCAAAGCCAGGTCTCAACTATTATATTTTGGTACCTAGTTCATTTACATTACAAAATAGATTATGTACCCCTTTGGATACTACCGTCCTGGATATGAGATATACAAAGCATAGACTGGTCAAAGTCTTAATTATTACTGTCAGCATCATTCTTAATTATTCTTAGCCATCAGATGGAGAACACATATCTTATTTAATCCTAAGGATAACTCTATGAGTTATTATTTCCACATAGGCTCAATGAAGTTAAGTACCTCATTCAACATCATGCATCTCAGAAGTGGCTGAACTGCAAGGCAAGGCTCATGCTACCAACCTTTGTAGAATCTGTTTCCAAATGAAAAGATACCCTAAAATCTATTTCCTCCTGACAACACAAACCAAAGAGAAAATGCTGACTTGGTACAGTTGTGTTGAACTTAGGAGTATGAGCCAATTATGACATCTTGGACTTATGGAAACTTCCATGATTCAGTATTGATTCTTTCATACGAGTTGCTGAGTGAGTGAATATAGAAGACAGACACTAGGAGGTAGTTTGGTCATCCTCTAGAGATGATCTTCTCTAGGAAGAAGAGACAGAAGACAATGGATTTGTGGGGAGAAAGAAATTAAGAAGAGGAAAGGAGGGAAAGTAGGCCATTGCACCTCAGCATTCCAGCACTGAGGCCCTTGAGCAAAATGACAGGAGCCTGGGATTGCAGATAGTCCTTCCAGAGCTACTCTTTATGTTCCTAGTAGCCTTCATGGTGTCATGTGCCAGATGATTGTCATGGGTAAGAGCTTTGAGGAAGAGACTGGGCCTATTTAAGAGAGGAGTTGGCATACTATTCCTGTCCTCTTG